GGGTCACTCAGTGTCACTCAGGGTCACTCAGGGGTCACTCAGTGTCACTCAGGGTCACTCAGGGGTCACTCAGGGTCACTCAGAGGTCACTCAGTGTCACTCAGTGGTCACTCAGGGGTCACTCAGGGGTCACTCAGGGTCACTCACGCAGCGCTGCCCCGCAGGTAGAAGGCCGATGCTTTGGGCAGTGAGTAGCTCAGGTCAGCGTCCAGCGGCGTCCCCAGGGGCAGCGCCCAGGGCAGGCCGGGGGCAAACGGGGCCAGCCTGGGGACAGGTGGGGACAGGTGGGGACAGGTGACACACCTGGGGACACACCTGGGACAGCTGGGGACACACCTGGGACAGGTGACACACCTGGGGACACACCTGGGACAGCTGGGGACACCCGGGGACAGGTGACACACCTGGGGACACACCTGGAGACAGGTGACACACCTGGGGACACACCTGGGACACACCTGAGACACACCTGGGGACATGGCAGGGACACAGCCGGCGATGTCACCCCCCCCTCCCCAGGTGCCAGCCCCACCTGTCCCCTCCCCTCACCTGTAGCGCCGGCGCTGTTGCACCAGGTGTCGGCGGCGCTGCCGCTGCAGCCGCGGGTGTTGCTCCATGGCCGGCGTGGTGGCTGCGGTGACATCGACAGGTGTGTCCAGGTGTGTCCCCAGGTGTGTCCAGGTGTGTCACAGGTGTGCCCAGGAGTGTCACAGGTGTGTCCAGGTGTGTCACAGGTGTGTCCAGGTGTGTCACAGGTGTGTCCAGGTGTGTCCCCAGGTGTGTCCAGGTGTGTCCCCAGCTGTCCCCAGGTGTGCCCCCAGGTGTGTCCAGATGTCCCCGGCTGTCCCCAGGTGTCCCCAGGTGTGTCCCCAGGTGTCCCCAGGTGTGTCCCCAGGTGTCCCCAGGTGTGTCCCCAGGTGCGTCCAGATGTCCCCAGGTGTCCCCAGGTGTGTCCCCAGCTGTCCCAGGTGTGTCCCCAGCTGTCCCCAGATGTCCCCAGGTGTGTCCAGATGTCCCCAGGTGTGTCCCCAGGTGTCCCAGGTGTGTCCCCAGGTGTCCCAGGTGTACTCACCTGTACCCTCGGGCAGCTCCCAGGTGTTGTACCCCTCGAGCCAGCGGTAGCACGGGAAGTGGAAGGGCCCCAGGTCAGCGACGTCATCGGTGTCACCTGCGGGGGTGAGGTCACCTGTGATGTCACAGGTGTCACCTGCGGGGGTGAGGTCACCTGTGATGTCACAGGTGTCACCTGTGGGGGTGAGGTCACCTGTGATGTCACAGGTGTCACCTGCAGCAGTGATGTCACCTGGGATGTCACAGGTGTCACCTGCGGGGGTGACGTCACCTGGAGTGGAACAGGTGTCACCTGCAGCGGTGACGTCACCTGGAGTGGCACAGGTGTCACTTTTGCAGGTGATGATGTGACGTGTGCCACTCCAGGTGTCCCCTGGGCACCTGGTGATGTCACCTGTGCCACTCGAGGTGTCACCCATGCCACTACCCAGGTGTCACCTATGCCATTACAGGTGTCACCTGTGCACCTGGTGATGTCACCTGTGCACCTGGCGATGTCACCTGTGCCATTGCAGGTGTCACCTGTGCCATTACAGCTGTCACCTGTGCCACTCCAGGTGTCACCTATGCCATAGCAGGTGTCACCCGTGCCACCGCCCTCACCTGTGCTGGCAGTGCTGATGTCACCTGTGCCACCGCCCTCACCTGTGCTGGCAGTGCTGATGTCACCTGCGCTGTCCTCAGGCTCCTCCTCCAGCTCCTCCTCCTCTGTCACCTCCTCCTCGCTGTCACCTGTCCCCTCCTCCTCCTCCTCTGTCACCTCCTCCTCGCTGTCACCTTCCTCCTCCTCCTCCTCCTCCTCGTCCCGGCTGTCCCCATCGCTGTCACCATCGCTGTCACCGTCGCTGTCACCGTCACTGTCACTGTCCCCAGGGGTGTCCCCGCGCTGTCCCCACACGGTGACGCTCTCCAGGTACCAGGAGCTCTCGGGGAGACCCCCGCAGGGCCCCTTGTGCACCTGTAGCAGCAACAGGCGGCCCAGGGGATGGGGGACGGGGACACGGTACTCTGTCACCTGGAGACATGGGGACACTGTCAGTGTCACTGTGTCACTGTCACTGTGTCACTGTGTTACTGTGTCACTGTCACTGTGTCACTGTGTCACTGTCACTGCGCACCTGTAGGAGCAACAGGTGGCCCAGGGGATGGGGGACGGGGACACGGTACTCTGTCACCTGGAGACATGGGGACACTGTCAGCGTCACTGTGTCACTGTCACTGTGTCCCTGTCACTGTGTCCCTGTCACTGAGTCACTGTGTCATTGTCACTGTGTTACTGTGGCACTGTCACTGTGTCATTATCACTGTGTCACTGTCACTGTCACCGTGTCCCTGTCACACACCAGCTCCAGGCTGTGACGTGAACTGTGATGTCACCCGCGCCGTGCCACCGTTGTCACTGCTGTCACCAGCCCAGCAGTGTCACTGTCACCTTGCTGCGCGGCTGTTGTCACCACAGTGCCACTGTCACCTCCACTGTGGCTGTGCCACCACCGCTGTGTCACCGCTGTCACCATCGCTGTCATCATGCCACCATTGTTGTGTCACCGCTGTCACCATCAGCAGGCCATCGTTGTCACCATTGCTGTGCCACCACTGCTGTGCCACCATTGCTGTCACCATCGCTGTCACCATGCCACCACCACTGTGTCACCATCGCTGTCACCGTGCCACCACCACCGCGTCACGGCCACCCCCAACACCGCCTGAGGAACAACCATTGTCACCCCACGGTCACCGTCATTGTGTCGCTGCTGTCACCATCATTGTCACCACTGTCACCACTGCTGTGCCACCACTGTCACCACTGTGCCACCACCACTGTGTCACCGCCACTGTGTCACCACCATTGTGTCACTGTTGTCACAAGTGTTGTGCCACCACTGTCACCATCGCTGTCCCCACCGCTGTGTCACCGTCCTCGTGTCCCCGTGCCCGTGTCCCCGTCCCTGCCCTGCCAGTGATGGTGACACCGTCCCCATGTCCCCACCGTGTCACTGTGCCCGTGTCATCATCCCCGTGTCCCCACTGCTGTGTCACCGTGCCCATGTCACCGTCCCCGTGTCCCCACTGTGTCACCATCCCCGTGTCCCCATGTCCCGCCCTGCCGGCGATGGTGACACTGTCCCCGTGTCCCCACCGCTGTGTCACCATGCCCATGTCACCGTGCCCGTGTCACCGTCCCCGTGTCACCATCCCCGCCCTGACGGCGATGGTGTCACCATCCCTGTGTCCCCACCATGTCACCGTGCCCGTGTCACCATCCCCGTGTCCCCTGCCCTGCCCGCGATGGTGACACTGTCCCCATGTCCCCACCGCTGTGTCACCATCCCCGTGTCCCCATGTCCCGCCCTGACGGCGATGGTGTCACCATCCCCATGTCCCCACCGCTGTGTCCCCATCCCCGTGTCACCATCCCCATGTCCCCGTCCCTGCCCTGCCAGCGGTGGTGTCACCGTCCCCGTGTCCCCACCACTGTGTCACCATCCCTGTGTCCCCACCACTGTGTCACCATCCCTGTGTCACCATCCCCGTGTCCCCACCGCTGTGTCACCATCCCTGTGTCACCATCCCCATGTCACCATCCCCGTGTCACCATCCCCATGTCCCCACCACTGTGTCACCATCCCCGTGTCACCATCCCCGTATCCCCGCCCTGCTGGCGATGGTGTCACCGTCCCCGTGTCCCCACTGCTGTGTCACCGTGCCCATGTCACCATCCCCGTGTCACCATCCCCGTGTCCCCGTCCCTGCCCTGCTGGCGATGGTGTCACCGTCCCCATGTCCCCACCACTGTGTCACCATCCCCATGTCACCATCGCTGTCCCTGCCCTGCCGGTGATGGTGTCACTGTCCCCGTGTCCCCACCACTGTGTCACCATCCCCGTGTCCCCGTCCCTGCCCTGCTGGCGATGGTGTCACCGTCCCCATGTCCCCACCACTGTGTCACCATCCCCGTGTCACCATCCCCGTGTCCCCACCACTGTGTCCCCACCGCTGTGTCACCATCCCTGTGTCACCATCCCCGTGTCACCATCCCCGTGTCACCATCCCTGCCCTGCTGGCGATGGTGTCACCATCCCCGTGTCCCCACCGCTGTGTCACCATCCCTGTGTCACCATCCCCGTGTCACCATCCCCGTGTCACCATCCCTGCCCTGCTGGCGATGGTGTCACCATCCCCGTGTCCCCACCGCTGTGTCACCATCCCTGTGTCACCATCCCCGTGTCACCATCCCTGTCCCTGCCCTGCCGGCGATGGTGTCACCGTCCCCGTGTCCCCAGTGCCACCCACGGAGACTCCTCAGCTGTGCCAGCCCCGCCCTGGGTGTCACCTGTGCCTCACCCGCTGTCCCCACACCCCACAACCCCTTTTGGGGGGGGTCTCTGCATCCCCCGGTCCCCTCTGACCCCCCCGGGGTGACACAGCCACCCCCAGGTGTCCCCAAAGACCCCCAAATGTCCCCCAGAGCCCCCAAATGTCCCCCAGACCCCCCCAAAAGCCCCCAAATCCCTTCCAAGCCTCTCCTGACCGC